GTAGCGGCTGCGGGTTTCCCCTCTTACCAAAAGAAAAACACGAACTAGCTTACAGGTAGCACTAGTATACTGTAGTTTTCTGCTTCAAAATATATCACAATTACCATGCTATAATAAGCATGACTCAAGATACTAGCCAACGCTATGTTAGCAGTGGCGGAGCCACATGCACCCAAGGGGCGTCTTCGTCGGAAAATTACATTGTTTAGCTAAGTAATTTTAAAAAAAATATGTATACGAGTCTAGGACTATCTTAAATTCTGCCTATCATTCATCCCGAAACTTCTCATAATTTACAACAACTAAACCTCAGTCCCAAACAAGTTGGGGTCGGCTATATGTATTCTCACTTCTCTATTTAAGCTCAACTCATGTAATCACGGGACTTCTCATGATTAGCCTCGATAAAATTTGATGCATTGATCGTAGGGCTGATTGACTACTGCATACTCCTAGAAACAAGATGATAGTTTTCTACATCTTTTACCTTTCTCAACTATATCACAACTTCAACCACATAGACGTTATCTGAATCCAAGTCCAAATACAGAAGATTCTACAGACAGGTAGATTCTCATATTATAATAACTGCAAAAGACTTGAAGCATTAACATTAAAACATACAATTCTGAATCATATTTTCCATTCTATCCAAATTTCAAGTTTCAAAATAGGCCACATTAGCAAAATTACATGCTGCAAAGTTCTTTTCACCACCTCTAAATACACAATTCAAGAAACTAGCATTGCAAATAAATGTATCCAAAAGGCAATTACAACAGGGAAAAAATGGCAGCTGGGTGCACTAAGCTCCCGCTATGTGCGGGGTCCGAGAAAGGGCCGAACCACAATGTTCTATTGTGCGCAGTCTTACCCTGCATTTCTGTAAGACGTTGTTTCCACGGCTCGAACCCGTGACCTCCCGGTTACACCTTTACCGGTTACACCAAGGCTCCCCTTCCATTACAAGGGGAAAAAAAAGGTGAAAAAGGAAAAGGCAATATATGAATTCTGACAAGAACCAAGAAACATACCTACTGAATCTTTCATGGCTTTGATGATGAAAAAGAGNTTCAATTGGCTGGCCTTGTCTTCACGAGAGGCGCCATCACGATCGGGTTCGGGGTTAGGGTCGTGACATTGTCTCTTTTGTACAAAAACTTCTAATTTTTCACTATATTCAGTTTGGGATATATAAAAGTAAATTAGACAGTATATATATATATATATATATATATATATATATATATATATCGGTAGAGTGTCAAAAGGGGAATGCAACAGAAGAGAAAAAGGGGTGAAGTGGAGAGGGAGCAATGAGGAAAAGAGTACTAGAAAAGTAAAGTAGAAATCCCATTATGCCTTTTTCCAATAGAATGTAATAGAATGGAACTTTCTTTCCTTCTTTCTTTCTCTTCCACTAGCAGAAAATACCATCATTTCTTTGACTATAAGCTTCCATTGATCTATTCCCTTCCTATACATTTTCCAGTATAAAACATACAGCTATAATTCTGTTTGAATTAAGACTAAACGGCCACTGCCCGAAAGCATTATGTCTAGGGAACAGGTTCTATACATCGATGTATTGTCTCTCTCGACCAGATAATTATAAGAAAATACAAAAATACGGTTCCAAAAAAAGAGAAGGCTACAACTAACATAACAGCCAGCCGAAAAACATTAGCTATAGCTAGGCTAGCGCGCAATGGCTTCTGAATCCGTTGTTTAGTTATTACATCAAAAATATTGCCAATGCTTCTTTTTATTTTGTCTTTAGCCTTGCTCTATCGGAAACAACATCTCTGTCCTACCAAGACAGGGTGTCCTACCAAGACAGGGGATTCGAAGATTGCGGGTGCCACCATATTATGCATACAGTATACATGTCAGTAGCTACAAAGACAGATTAGGAATAATGGGTCGGTTCGGTTATTTTTTGGTTAATTTGAATAGGCCTTTCATTCACACAAAGCAAATAAATTCGATTTTAATTCAAATTTTTAACGCTTAATTTAAACACATTCTAAATAAAAATGCAAAAAAAAAATAACGCCTCCAATATAAATATTTGCTTAAAGGGTACCTTAACTACACTATATTCTTTGTTTGACTAGATTAATTTACTTGTATTATTCTTTGTTTATTTTTCCATCTAATTGTTGAGTTATATGATAATTATTTTCAAAGAAAAACCTTCAACATTCAACCTATGATATTCAACTCAAAACGACTATCAATCAAGCCATTTGATTTTTTTTCAAAACCCAATAGAAGATATTGCTCAAATTATATTTCAATATATAAATCAATATCGTTTCATTAAAAATAAAAAAAATTATATTCTAATTAAAATTACTATAGAAAATAATTGTTTATAAAGTAAGGTATAATGATAGAAACAAAATAAGGATTGAAAGTTAAAATAATGAAGAAGAGAGACTTAACAAGTAATAAAAGGAGGAAAAAAACCGAAAAAGAAGGAAAATATATGAGGCCGGTTCAACTAAAAATAAAAGAAATCTTAATAAGTAGAAAAAAGGAAAAATCAAAAGAGCTGCTCCAACAGGGAATCGAACTTGCATTCCTGAGGCCAAGAAAAGCTTTCTAAGGGAAGGCTAAACCAATGGCACCCACTTCCACTTTGTGACTTTTGGGTGCCATTCTAGAAATTTTAGAGAAGCGAACAGGTGCCGTGGTACCCCTAACTTGCAACGTAGATTCGCCCTTGGGTAAGCTGTGTGTACACAATGTTGGTACGACCATGCAACACAAATTCATCTAATAATTCACCTCAATCAAGAATAAGTTGAATTGTTGAGTAAAGCTTTAGACAAACTTGTTTTTCACTCTACTTCAAGATAGTCATTGTGCTTCTGTATGCATTAGTTTTCCTTCTTCTTGTGTTGGTTAAAATTTTTGGCGTTTTTATAATATAGGAAAAGAAAAAGAAAGAAAAAGTTCAACTAAAAAGTGAGAGTTTCCAAAAAAAAAAAAATATAGTAGAGAAGGAGAGGATCACGCTTGGTCTCAAGTAAAAACGTTATTAACCTTTGTTTTTACACCAATTCAATGAATACATGTCATGCGACATACTGTTATGTTAATCAATGCATTCTACATCTCAAATTGCCCTGATATAAATTTACCATATCCTATGCAACACAAAAGCCTAGTATCTACAAAATCACAAGAGTTACTAAGTTTCATCAACCATTTCCAGCCATCATATTCCATGATCCAAATGTCCAATTCGATACCATTTCCTTTGCCACCATATAAACTAAGCCAACCTTTTAAAGTAGACAAACGAAACAACTCATTTTCACCTACAAAATTCGGCGTTGGAAGCTCCTTCAATTCGTCTGACTTCACATCAAGGTGTATGGTTGTAGAAGCTTTACGCACATATTGATCAAGTTATTTATCAAGAGTCCAATATACACAAACTTCAGTGCTAATACCCCGGCTGCAGCATAAATAATGCCATAAAAGAAGTTGATGGAAAATTATTGTAGGGAGAACAAAGAATGAATGGATTGTCATAAAAGAAGTAAGAGTACATATTGTATGATTGAAAACGGCCGCTGCATGCTACCCGCCTACCCGTGGCTTGCAGGTTTGACTGGTGTGTTCTCTCTAACAGCTGCTTCAATCAATGTAAGATAAGACTACATTGACGGAATGAAAAACACCAAACACTGATTTTGTGTTTGTGCAAAATACCTCGGTACAATAAGGACTATTCATGTATTGAATTGATAAAATCTATCAACTCATTCTCCTGATTTTATTTACATCCGGAAGTTAAATTAAACGAGACACCTATACAATCAAACCTCTCGTTTGTTCCGATATTTCTTGACTGCTATAGTGAAGTGCTGTTATAGAAAACATATATTATTAAATAACATGAAGAGTAGTTCCAAAGAAAACTTGGCCGTTATAGAAAAGTGTTGTTATAGAGGATGGCTGTTATAAAGAGGTCTCACTATNTTGGAAGTTCCTTCGGCTCATTTGACTTCACGTCAAAGTATATAATGTAGAAGTTTTACCTATATATTGGTCAAGTTTTTGATTCATAGACCAATATACACAACCTTCTGTGCTAATTCCATGACAACACAAATATGAGCTTCCTAGTTTGGAAACTAGCTATAGGGAGGCTTTGCTGTAATATAGGCAGAGTTGTTTTCTTTCTCCAAAAATCCCTATTCGTAGAGAAGACAACATAAAACAAGTTATATTTCAATAATATTCCTACTATTTTAGTGTAAAATTTATCTCATAATTCGCTAATGCCAATAAATAACCAAACATGAAATAAATATAATCTCAATTTTACCCCGGAATTATTATCTTTATCTCATATACCAAATGACCCCTTGCATTACCAATTCCAAGCATGGATAAAGAAAAAATATTGTAATAGGTAACCAAGGTAAAACTAGTCAATTTGTGATGAATCCGCATGTATGCGCTTGCTCACATTGCGAATCACAAGCACAAATAAAAGAAGAGGGTTGCAAAGGTTAACAATAAATGTAAAACTTGTTAAATTGAGATGAAACAGCACAACAAAATAAGGCCCAACTTGCTTGGATTGAGACGTAATTGTTGTAGTAAAAGAAAGAGACAGTAAACCTTCATTTACAACATTGTGAAGCCCACTACAAGCAGGAATGCAGTAAAATGTATCAGAAAACAGTAGTGATTAGAGTCCAACTATACTGTTAGTACACAAGGATCTTCATTTCTGATAAAGGGTACTTAAAAGGTGATGAAATGCAGGGTAAGGCCGCGTACAATCTGGCCCTTCCTCGGACCTCGTGCATAGCGGGAACTTCGGGTACTTAAAAGGTGATATAACTTAGAGAACATACATTTGCAACATTGTTTAATCTTGGATCAAACATATGTAGAAAGGGGGAAACATCACAGAAAATGTGGTAAAAAATACACTGATTTGTTTCCAGAGAGAATTTTGTTCCTGCTTTTGTTCATGTATTACTCATCATCCATTCCACCTGCCTTGTATTGCTTTCCATAGGCAATCCATTCGCGTTGGCAAAAGCTCGCGGTCTCTTCTTTAGATCACCAATTCCATTCGACGGAAAGCAGTCATCAAGCAAGCAGTCGCCAAGTCTGGCTGGCACGTGACAAGCATTTTTGTTTTCGATACTTGGAGCAATCTCATGTAACGAAGGGACATTAACGATCCCTTCACAGTCGTTTGCAACCTTCATTGCTAATTCAGAAAGTTCTTCCCTGTTCACTTCTAGGCCATTCGATTCAATGGACTGGCTACTAAAAGCTTTACAAGCTTTTTCAAGAATTGATTGCAAATATTTTCCTTGTGCTTCAATACGAAGCTGTAGACGGCGCTGTACCTACTTTGGCAAACCGCAAAGATTTTTGTTAGAACATAAAGAATGTGACACTAAGTTACTGATGTATAAAGACTTGATAAGAAGCTGATGTTGCATTTTGTCCTAGCTAAGAAAGCAAGTTGCACTTACGCATACGACACATGATAAACAACCAAAAGTCATTGACAGTGATAAAACAACAACGACCAGCAGCAGAACTTCAACCAAGAACCTTTGATAAGACAAAAGTTGCAGTTGGTCCGAGTTGAGGAAGCAAGTTAGCCCTAGCACATACTACACTAGAAATGGCCAAAAGTCACTGACCTCAACCTGGTCTGGAAACTGCCATTAGCTACTTATCAATGTATTCACTCATTAGAGCAAACTACTCTGCAATTATTCACCACTCTAACCCGTTGTAGAGAAGAAAACAAAAAAGAGAGAAAAGGGAATATCGGACAAAAAACACATAGTGCAAAGCTGACTAAAAAAGAGATTCATGATTACGTCTAATGCGAGCACATTTTCTCAATGAATTCAAGATTGAGATTATGAATCAAAGTAGACTTTGGGAAATCAGATTCATCCNACCAATAGTGATGATTGTCGATTTGTCGTATTTATGAGAAATGTGGAAGTTACTCAATGGGGTTGACATTTAAGTTTTAGCATAGATGAAGTAACTCATCAGCAGCTCTAATCTTTTCCTTGAATTTGAAGTTAAACTTATATATACACTCTTCAGATATAAGAAAAACATGGAAATTTCAAGGACACTGAGCAATTCGCAGGAAGCTGGAGTATTTAATGAAAAGTTCTTCATTACCGTCTTTAGAATTATCAGTTGCCTCTTTTGCAGATTGCTTTCCCAGGCGGTATTTCTGCAAAGGAAATACAAGGATACAGACTTTAGTATCTGCCTGAAAACTTTAAAAAAACAGCATCTTACTAGGTTTTATCCAACTCTCCGAATCAATTACTTGTGATGCCTTTTTTAAAGGACCTTTTTTACTTCTTCTTTGGATAAAACTGAGAGCTTAATCAAATTGTACTTCATCCTTGTTTGGCTAACATCAAATGCAGAATGTAAAATTAAAAATACAGTATACCGTCTCATCAATAAAACCTAGAATCATTTGAATCTTCTTTCACTTGCATTAAGCTTTGAAATGGCAAAAGCAATAAATCAAATTGTTATAGAAACTATAATTTTGAAAGTGGCATGAAGTTGGTCCTACTTCATTTTGTAAAACACTAGGCTAGGGCCGTAAACTTGTGTAGTTGGAGCGTACTGTTACCCTTTAAACCGTGTTTCAATGTCCACGGAATATAGCCAAGAAGCAAACACAGATTGCAATCAGAAAGCATACCTGGAGATGTGACTTCAAATGGTATAAGGTCAGACCTTTCACCCCCATTGTTCTCATAATTGTTTTTGGTGTCGCTTCTGCAAAATGAAGCAACCATCACATAATTAAAATTATGCATAGGAGTACATGTAAACTGTAAAGAGAAGGCAACACGCAAATGAAATAAAGAAATATTTCTTAAGATTTGCACATAGAAAGATTTCCTGGAAACACCACAACTATTACAAGAAAAATAAACACTCACAACATCACAACAGCATAATTCTACCAGTGTACAAGAAGGCTAAAAAGGGCAGCTCGGTGCACTAAGCTCTCGCTATGCACGGGGTCCGGGGAAGGGCCGGACCACAAGGGTCTACCCTGCATTTTTGCAAGAAGCTGTTTCCACGGCTTGAACCAATGACCTCCTGGTCACATGGCAGCAACTTTACCAGTTACGCCAAGGCTCCCCTTTAGTGTACAAGCAGCTAATGAAAAAAATTATCATGCAATGAGATACTAATAAATGGAACATTTCCTTTATTGATCAATTTAATAGTTCCCTCATTCCAAATCTACCACGATTCTTTTATTTGACCCTTAGGGCCTTCAGACAGTTAAATTAGCATACATTTAGAAATCGGGATGGCTCTTTTTTATTTCTTTTTCCATAACGAGTGATGTTTCCCCAAAGGAGCAGCTCAGAAGGAGTATTTCTAATTTAAAATGCTACTATCACATATACTGACTGACAAACACAAACCCTGTAGAGAAGAGGTGAAGTTCAACAAATGACAGCAGAAACTCAGAGCTTATTTTACCAAAGAAGACAGATGCAAAAACTAAAAGAAAACCTAATCTATAGTGCAGTGAAATCCTTCAAAAAGGAACCAGAGCGACAGGGTCAATCAAGTTGCAATTGTAACATCAAAGACGAGCTCCTGTTTTGTATCATGGCTACATGAATGTGCACCAAGTACTTACAGAACCGCTAGAATCCTAATAACACTACGAATAAAGTTCTAGCACTGGCGGATATGTGCCACGCTCCTACTACTAATGACACAGTCCTACTAACACGCACAAGGTTTGACCTCCCACCTAAGAACGTATACCTCTATGGGCAAGAGTGCTTAAACTTGCTAATTCATTTTCACATTGAACATCAAACTTTGAGGTCACTTCTTTAGTGCCTAACAATCTTAAGAAGCATATTTGCTACTCCCTCCGTTCCAGTTTATTTGAACCTATTTTTTTTTGGTTCCTTCCAAAAAGAATGACCCCTTTCTAAATTTGGAAACAACTTAACTTAAACTTTCAATTTTACCCTTAATGAAAAGTTTTTATAATTACACAAATAGTCTGGACCCTTTTTTGACTTGTTTAGGACCACAAGTTCAAAAAGTCTTCATTTTTTTCTTAAACTTCATGCCCAATCAAACAGGTTCACATAAATTGGAACGGAGGGAGTATATAATAAAGGGCAGTCTGGTGCACTAAGCTCCCGCAATGCGCGGGGGAGGAAGGGCCGGACCACAAGAGTCTATTGTATGCAGTCTTACCCTGCATTTCTGTAAGAAGTTGTTTCCACGGCTCGAACCCGTGACCTCCTGACTACATGGCAACAATTTTACCAGTTATCGACATGATTTATTAAAGACGAGAGAAAATTCAGATAGGCATAACAAAACAAGAGCCTCGAGAGGCAAATGTAGTGATTGGGGAACTGGATTAAGAATATATAGAGAACTACTTTTAACCAAGTAACCTTTTCAAGATTCCCTCCTTCGACTTCTGATGGTTTTTATTAAATTTTCAAGTCTAAATTTTTTATCCCTCTTCATTAACTATCTCGAGGATATCACTAAGTTTTCACCTCCGGGGTTTAGAGAGATGTTGTATCCCCTCAGAATATTGAATTGTACCAAGCGCAAGTTTACCTCCAGAAAATATTAGCAACAACCAAATATTTCTTCACCATTTACTTCACATGATAATATTCTTACATGTTATACAATTTACATCCTGTACAAGTAAACAACAACAGCCAACAGACCCAGTATATTCCCAACAGGTGGGGTCTGAGGAAACCTTACCCCTACTTAGTGAAGGTAGAAATCCTGTACAGTGCCAGAAAATAGCACTATAAAAAAATACGAAAATATAGGCGAGTTTTTGACCAATATTGTCCCTTATCTTTGAGGGTAGGTCTATTTTGGTCCCTCGAATATAACCCTGAGCATATTTAGTGCCTTAAATATGCTAAAGTGGAGCATCTTTAGTCTCACTGACACAATATGTTCAAAAACTAACGGTGTTATCCAACTCTGATTCATGAAACAAATCTTCTGCTCTGCAGCAAAGTGTTTCCTCTCCTTTTATTGGATAACACAAATTATCACTTTAATTCCTCATTTTTAGATAATGCCTTTTAAAATTTTGACCTTGAAAATATCCCCTTCTGTGCCAGTTTTCAATGAGAAAATGACACTGTATAGCCGCTGTAAAAATAATAGCCGAAAAAATGTATAAAATTTGTATATATATATATATATATATATATATATACACATTTAAAAATTTCGGTTGATTTTTCCAAAAAGAAAAGTTAAAATTTGAAAAACAATAGAGCTACCAGGTTCACTTCTAGGCATATTATTGAAGCAAACGAATAACCAAGTTGTATTATCACTTTTAGCCCGTGCCAGAAACTATTTACATCTGGTAACGGAAAAAGTATATAAAATTTGTATAATTTTTGTATATTAACATACAATATATATATATACACACAAAAAATATATAAATTTTATACATTTTTCGGCTATTATTTTTACAACGGCTATATAGTGTCATTTTCTCATTGAAAACTGGCACAGAAGGGGATATTTCAAGGTCAAAATTTTAGAAGACATTATCTAAAAATGAGGAATTAAAGTGATAATTTGCGTTATTCAATAAAAAGAGAGGAAACGTTTTGATTCAGAGCAGAAGATTTGCTTCATGAATCAGAGTTGGGTAATACTGTTAGTTTTTGAACACATTGTGTCAGTGAGACTAAAGGTGGTCCACTTTAGCATACTTAAGGGACTAAATATGCTCAGGGCTATATTTGAAGAACCAAAATAGACCAACACTCAAAGATAAGGGACAATATTGGCCAAAAATTCGCATAGAGGCCATTGTATTAACCTTTTCACAAAAAAATAAGTAGAGGTCATTATATTGACCTTTTCACAAGAAAATATGTAGAGGCCATCATATAAACAGATTCCCTAATTGCCTAGTTTCTACTTTTCCCAATTGAGAGGGTCAAAAGCTACATATATACATCTCTATCAACACGACCCACAATAATCATGATACTTCACAATAATTAGGTAATTAAGACCATAAAAGCTTTGTCATGAAAAAGAATGCACTTTTGACAAGGAAAAAGAAAAAGAATACACTTAATAAAAACAAAAGTTCCTTAAAATAATATAATAGGACTATGACCCTTTCTTTTTTTGTTAAACCAAAGAAAGGAAAGAGCAGCAAATCAAATGGCTTGCTTTTACTAGTCCAAATGTCTAGAAGAAAAGAAAAGGTCAAAACTTTATAAAGAACAACTATATAATATACAAAAATTATGACCATGAAAAAAGGAACAACTATAGAAGCCTAATGTACAGCATATAGATTCACAATATAGAATTCATGTACAGCATATAAATGCATAAAGTACCCAATAAATTCAAAAAGAAACAATACAGAAAATAAATTATTATATTACTGGAAAAAATCAAAATCAAAATTTAATCATGCAATAAAATATTAAGAAAGAAAAATGATCAAAATACCCCCTCTATTATACGAAATATCTTAATTTAACTTAACCCTCCATTATACTTTAAGGTCATTCATTCTATGTTGCATTTCCCATTTGTACTCGACTTTATCAGAGCTTAAGTCAATTCCGCTAGTCAAAATAATTTGTGAAAAAAATCCAAATTTACCCCTATTTTATTACTAAAGTTTAAAATTACCCTCCATTATACTTCAGGTCGTAGCTACTGAATTCCTAGTGTCAAAATATTGCGTGGTAAAAGTCCAAATTTTATGCCTCAACTTTTGACTATGCTCTAAAACTACCATTCTTAGGATTAAGAACCTCATAATGCCAACAACCCAAAGTATAACTGATGGTAAAATTAAGATATTTTGGTAATTTTTACCCTTCTCCTTCTTAAATAAAGAAAATGCAGATTAATAAAAAGTATTAAGACACTTCCATTACATGTGTCAAAATACTTCCAAGCTTAAGTCGAATTCCATGTGTTAAAATACTTCAAAAAAATTCCAAATTTACCTCTACTATTTTTCACTAAGGTTCAAGGACCCGTTTGTTTATAAATATTTTTTCTATTTTTTTAATTTTTATTTTCAAAAATGTGTTTGTCCGTTTAATTTTGCAAGCTTTTGGAAATTTTTCGAAAATGAGTTTTTCAAAAACCACAAGGCAGTTTTGTCCACCTTTTCAAAATTTTCAGAAAAACTTTTTTACCCGTTCACAATACGGCAATATTTTTTCAAGTGAAATGCATGTACAAACATAATTTCAAATTTCAAATTACAAATATCATTTTTTTCAAATTAGCTCCAAATACTGCTGTTTTCCCCAAAAATTACAATTTTTATGTCCAAACGCCTACTAAAATTACCCTCCATTATGTTTCAGGTTGTAGCTCAAGACAGAAAGGCATCCCGATGCGACAAAACATATTGCGTTCACGCAAGGTCCGTGGAAAAACCGCACCCCAAAGGGTGTTATTCAGATAGCCTATCCTAATAGCTCGAATCCGTGACCTACAGGTTACACGGAGACAACTTTACCGTTGCTACAAGAATCGTCCTGAGGTTGTAGCTCATGATACATACCAGATTTTCAAACAGAGAGTAAAATTAAGATAATTTTTACCAAAAAAGAAAAAGAAAATGCAGATAAATTAGAAGGAAAAAAAACAAGAGAAGAGGAAAATGAGGGACTTACTATCAGGGCCACCAAGTTGAGTAACAGCATCAACAAAGCGTTCATGGAGTTCAGTAGTCCACCTAAGACGAGGCTTAGGATCAGTTGTTAATACTAAACAAGCATCCCCTGGTAAATTTGTACCATCTATTGAAACTGAATTATGAATATTATTAAAATAATCACCACTTCCTCCTAAATTCCTTATAGGCAATGTTGAGTACATTCTTTTCTAGATTAAAAAAAAACCCACAATCTTGAAAATGAAGAAAAATACTGAATCTTGATGTTAGACTATGTGGTGGGGGAAAAATGAGAGAAATGTGAAAAATTTGGG